AGCCACCAGGCCAAAGGAGGAACTTTTAAGCAACCCACTTAACTAGTAAAGAAAGTTTTTCTCACACTTGAAAATGTGGGTAGTACCAAATATTTAAATCTCAGAACTTACCAAAACTGTGGACATAGCTTCTATAGTTTGAGATGTGATAACCAAACTAACTGAACTTCTTCACAATATCATGGATAGTTATTTACTTTTGTCATGCAAATTCATCATATATATATATATATATATATATATATATATTTCCTTTTTTAAAATTAAGAACTTACATCCTTTCCCTCTAAGAAAGCACTTTATGGATTCTCTTTGGTAGATGTTATGCTTTTGAGAAATTATTAATTAAAATAAGCATTACTTCAACCCAAACACTAGTTAGCATGAATGTCAAGCTGATCCCTAAGATATTTACTAGGGGACTAGTGGATCAACAGTGTATTGATGCACTGGTCAAAGGAGGAACTTCTCTGTCAGGTGTGCAAGACAGGGGCACACAGCTTTTTATCATATTTCTAGAATAATGTACTCTTTAAAATTTGCAAATTATTTAGTTTTTGGAATTTTGTATTTAATGCTTTCAGAACTTGATTGGCCAGAAATAACTGAGACTGTGCAAAGAGACTACATTTTGGATAAAAGGACAACCCTAATTCTCTTGAAAGGAGAATAATAACTCAGTTAATGTACATATTAAATTATGTTTATCCATCATCCCTTGAGTTTGATTTATAGTAAGAACATTGAATGTAAGATAGGCAATTTTAAACAAAATTTTGAGTGTAGTATGTAATATGATAGTATTAACTCTAGATGCAGTGTCATATAGTACATCTTTAGACTTTATTCACCCTGTATAAGTAAAACTTTTTACCCATTGGCAAGTCAATTCTCCATTGTTCTTTCCCTGCAGACTATAACAATCGCCACTTGATTTGTGAGTCTGAATATTTTACAACCACATCAGTGTAGTAATCCAGTATATGCCCTTCTGGAACTGACTGATTTCACTTAGAATACTGCTTACAAGATTTGTCCATTGTAGTTGCATGTGTCAGGATTTCCTTCTTTTATGATGGAGTAGGTTTGTATAGGCATCCGTACACACATGTGTATGTACCTTGATTATCTCTATTTCTATCTCATTCTCTCTTTCTCTCAAATTTTCTTTATCTAGTCATTTATAAATCGGCATTTAAGTTGTTTCACCAAATAGCTACCATGAGTCATGCAATGACCACACTAAATTAACTTAAAATTTATTTTCTCTGTACTGGGTTTGAATTTAGAGCTTTGTACTTCATAGGTGAGTGCTTTGCCAGTTGGGCAATGCTCCAGCCCTTTTTGCTTTAGTTAATTTATTTTTATTTTTATATTTTATTTTATTGTAAAGATGCTGTACTGAGGGGTTACAGTTACATGAGTAAGGTGATGAGTACTTTTCTTTTTTTTAACAATCATAATAAACATGCTGCAAAGAACATGCAGCATTCTTTTTTTTATTGTGAAAATACCGTACAGACGGGTTACACTTACATGAGCAGGTAATGAGTACATTTCTTATCAAGCATTGTTGCCTCCTCCTTTGTTTCCCCTTCCCATCCCTTCCCATTCCCCTCCTCTCCTCCCCCACTCCCCTGCTTGTCGAACATTGTTACTTCCTCATAGCTACTTTATTTTTAAAGGTAGCTTCTTGAATTTTGGGGGATGAGAGTTTAGGGTAGTCTCAGACATTGATCTTCCTTCCTATGTGTTCCATATAACTGGGATTGCAGGTATGTGTCAAGACCCCAGCTTGTTTGAGCAAGTCTCACTAGCTTTTTGCTATTTTTAGCTGCAGTCCTCTGAATTTTCCCCATGATTACAGATGTGAACCACCATGCTCAGCCCCTTCTCTTAAATTTTGATTGCAAGTTTTTTTTTTTGATACTCAGAAATGGGATATGAACATTGTATGGTGGTTCCATAGTTATGTGTTTGAGGAATCTCCATGGTGTTTCCCATAAAGAATACACCATTCCTACCAAGATCTCCCACAGCCACTAGAGTCACCCAGGCCCCTTAGTCTGAGTCTGTGTGAATTGGCTTGGACCTAGGACAAGCCTAACGTTTGAAGCAATTGTGCTTATCCTAGTAGTGTTGTGGACCTGGAGACCAGGTCAGTAGTGCAGTCCTGGAGCTTTGGGTCATGGGGAACTTCCCAGTGCTGGGCTTGACCAGGGCAGTTCCAGTGCTGTGGTGTAATGCAAAGCCCAACACTCACTCACTTCTCCTTTCCTCAGGCTGAGGGCATCTCTGCACACTGAGACCTGGGGGAGAGTGATGTGGGCAAAAATGGTTATCATTAAGTGGTTTACAAGGGAGCTGCCATTTAACAAAGCAGTTTATGAATATGATATATCTTGATCAATGTCACCCCTTTCAACATTCTCACCCAACCCTCCTCTCCCTCCCCTTCCCTCACTCTTCTTGATTTGTAGGATATACATTGGATTCTTGCTTGTGTTTCCCCCTCTCTTCTCCCTGCATTAGTCTACCCTTTTCCCCTGGGTCCCAAACCCATCCCTTTTGAGTACTGTTCCTGGACTTTTATTTTTCTGAACTTTTATCTTTCTAAGGAATTACACTATTTGAGATCTCCCTTGAATCTACCATGTTTCAGTTAATACATCTGTGTACAGGGCATACCACAATATATTTACTTATAAGTTTGTAAGTTAAATCTAGCTTTCACATATAAGGGAAAATGTGCATCCTTTGTCTCTCTTTGGGCCTGACTTATTTCACATAACAAATTCTTTCCATTTCTTTACAAATGGTATGATATTATTTACAATGAATGAGTAAAATTCATTGTGTTTCTTTCCTGTCCTTTCCAAGAATCTCTTTATTTCTGTGCCAATTCCAGGTGCTATTAGCTCTCACTTGTAGCTCTTGTAAAGGTTTCTTGAGCATAGGTAGTTGTTCAAATTGATGTTTGTGAGTGGGAACAAGTACTAGAAAGGTTTTTTTTTTGTTGTTGTTGGGGGTGAGTAAGGCAATGAATGCCTTTATTTTGTCCAATTAATGTTGATACACATTTTAAAATGAGAGAGAAATGTTGAATTCAAAAGGCTAAATTCAATTGAATTCCATTCATATGCATCAGATATAGAAGTACAGTAACAAACGTCCTGCTGATGAAAGTTCTATTCTTCTATTTTGCTGTTGTTTGATTAGAATTTGGAGATAATTATTGCTAAAGAAGTTTATAGTTGTGTGGAATTGGTAGAAAGTTTAAACATGTAGCTAGAAAGACCTGTTTGCAGTACTGAAAGAATTTCATTGGGAAAATTTGAAGACCTAGTTTACAGTGTAATTCAGAATTTTTATTATCATTTTCCAGTGTATATTTTTAAATTTTTCTTCCATATTGCTGAGGTAAACGGAAAAGATGATAAATAAATTTGTGATTTCTGTCAGATATGTGTGATTCTGTTAGAGCTAATGTATACATCAGATAGTATAACTATTAGATAATGCATTATATCAAGCAGAAAAAGGCTCTTTTAGGACTTGGTTTTATAATGATGACTATCCATTGTAATCTTTTTGAGAATCAAGGTAACTGCAAAAGTGACTGTCCTTACTACTAATAAATCTTCTAAAAGATGAAGATGATACAGAACAAGCTGCATTTTGCCATGGTTTCCAATGAATTCTAAAGTCTCAGTGATTTAACACATACAATTTTATTTCCTGCTCATTGACCACGGGATGGATGGTCCTTGACAGCAGTTCTTCTTCCCATGGATACTCAGTAGCCCAGGTGGTTTGTATAGGGAAAAGAATACCTGAATGCAGCATCTAGCACCTCTCTTAGTAGGTTACTTTTTAAAAGACAAATGAGCTTGGAAATAAGATAGTGTTTATTGATATTTAATGAGCAGTAAATGAGCTGGCAACAATTGAGATACAACTGGCCTTCCCCATGGGATGAATATTAACCTCTGAATAACAATCTGTTTATAGTCTATATTTAATACGACACAGGCATGGTTAAAGAGTAATTTCAGTAACAGTAACAGTCTTTATGAAGTTAGAAGTATACTTAAGATTTTCAAGGCTTTTGTTGTTCCTTGATGTTTCTTTTTCTAGTTTCCAAATATCCTTAAATTTTGTTGTGTTCACATCTCAGTTAATTCTGATCTCATTGTTCTGCACTTCTTCACTCAAATCTGAATGTGAAGATATTTTTGCTCTTATTACTGAGATCAACTACCTTTGGTGCCACCTACCTTTGCCCTATCATCTAAGGAACTGGATGGCCAGTACAAGCCATTTTGATGGTGAAATGACACCTAAGATGGCATTTCAATCAATTAGTTAATTAATTTTGGTAATGGGGTTTGAATTTAGGGCCTTGTGCTTACTAGTTTAGCACTCTGCCATCAAACCACATCTCCAGTCCTGTTTCTGGGTTGTTATTTTGAGACAGGGTCTTGTGAACTTTTCTGTTTGGGATAGATTCTATCCATGATCCTCCCACTCTCAGTCTCCACAAGTAGCTAAGATTACAGATGTGAACCACCAGTGGTCAATTGTAGGATTTCTTTTTTAGACAGGAAAAGATCCCCCCAAAAATTTGTTGTACATGAGAAATCACACCCAATGTTGGACTAAGGCTGTACCTAGAAGAATTTTATATCCTTGAAGAAGCAGAGAGAATAGTTTGTTTATTCAAGGAAGAGGAGCTCTATGTGGAGTCTTTTGAGGAACCTCCATACTATTTTCTAAAGTGGCTGAACAAGTTTACACTTCCACCAACAATGCAGTAGGGTTCCCTTCTGCCCACATCCCCTCCAACATCTGTTGTTATTAGAGTTCTTGTTTATAGCCATTCTAACTGGGGTGAGGTGATAGGGAGAAGAAGGCTGCCCCTGCAGGTACCCAACACAACAGCATTCATTTAAGTCCTGCCTTAAATGACTTGTTTCTCAAAACCCATTCATTTCTGCTTTCTATCTGTTACTCCTAATAAGCCTACCTACATCTCATTAGTTTTCATTTCAACAAAAAACATTTACCTATTAGGCTTTTTAGCTTAAATATTACAATTACTTAGGCTGTTAGCTATATAATCTATACTGAAAACTTGGCAAAAATGTGTTTCAGTGAAAACCTAAATTTACAAAATTTTCATGTATTATGACATTTTATGGCAACTAACAATTAGTTTTTGATCACTCACAAATGATGAGAAGTGTGTAATGGAGGGATCTTGAGCCATCATTTAATCAAGTATTAATTTCTTATTAGAGGAACCACTCAAGATTCTAGAAAACAATGGAAACAAAATATGCTAAAATTCACATATTTTAAATTCAAGACTCCTTTCCATTAGTTGTACTTGGTAAAAACAAATAGATTTTATCTGTCTCTTCTCTAGTCATGTAAAAATTTCCCTTTGGGTCCAGATGTTTCTTTGGCTCCAGAGCTTTCCCATGGCATTTTTCACCTCTGTGTTTCTAAGGGTATAGATTAAAGGGTTTAGCATGGGTGTTACCACAGTATAAAACACAGCCACTGCCTTGTCAATGGGGAAGGTGACCATGGGCCGAAGGTACACAAAGATACAGGGTACAAAGAACAAGATGACCACAGTAACATGGGAGGCACAGGTAGAGAGAGCTTTTCGCTGTTCTTCAGTGCTGTGTGTCTTCAGAGAGCAAAGAATGAGGACATAGGAAGTGATAAGAATAGAAAAAATGAGCATACACATCAGCCCACTGTTGGCAGCAACAAAGAGTCCGAAGATATGAGTATCAATGCAAGAGAGCTTGAGGAGAGGGAAAAGGTCACAGATGAAATGGTCAATGACATTTGGACCACAGAAGGGCAACCAGACCATGAAAAGAATTTGAATCAGAGCATGAACAAGTCCTCCAGCCCAGGCCAGGGACACCAGAATGTTACACACTCGCTTATTCATTTTGATCATGTAATGTAGAGGTTTGCAGATGGCCACGTAGCGGTCATAGGCCATCACGGTCAGCAGAATGATTTCAACTCCTCCAAAGAAATGTTCTGCGAAGAGTTGAGTCATACATCCCCCAAAAGAGATGGTTTTGTTTTCACTGAGTAGGTCAAATATCATTTTGGGAGCCATAGTTGAAGAGCAGCAACTGTCTATGAAGGATAAGAAGGACAGAAAAAAATACATGGGGGAGTCCAGGGTTGGGCTAGAGGTGATGGTTACAACAATAAGCAGGTTGCCGATGAGAGTGAGAAAGTAGATAAGTAAAAATATAACAAATAAGAACTTCTGCATGTCTGGGTTCTGGGTCAGGCCAAGCAGGATAAATTCTGTCACATTGTTCACTTGCTCCATGAATAGGCTTTGACATCTGGATTATTGATTTATCTGTGTATAGCAGCACAAGGATTGAATTCCAGACAGACAAAATTTGGACAGGCACATAATTTCTGTCAGGATCATTTTCTGTGACACTGATGGAAATCCCAAGCAGAAAAATCCAACATGTAAAAGTGTGTCTTATCATTATAGCAAATATACATGCACACACATCCATTGATACACAACAGCATGCTTTCCTTTACCTGTACATGGGTGGATATTCTCCTAATAACTGACAGTTATTATCTGGTTTCTCTTCAGGTCATATAAATCTTTTGCCTTTTACTAATAAATGACAGTTGTATTTTTCCCTTTGAAAACAGTAACAAAAATAGGATGATAGCCAGGCGTCGGTGATTCATGCTTGTAATCCTAGCTACTCAGGAGACTGAGATCTGAGGATTGTGGTTCAAAACCAGCCTGGGCAGGAAAGTCCATGATACTTATCTACAGTTAACTACCAGAAAACTGGAAGTGGTGCTGTGGTTCAAGTGGTAGAGCACTTGCCTTAAGCTGAAGAGCTGAGGGACAGCGCCCAGGCCCAGAGTTCAAGCCCCATGACTGACAAAAAAAAAAGCAAAAAGGCAAAAACAAAAAAATAGAACTATAACCAAACAGATGCTTGAATGCTTGAGACTACACCCTGGATTCTCTTCATTACACATTCACTCACTTAATACCTATGAAGCTTCAGGACAGAAGTTGTTATTATTTTTAATCATTTTCAGGCGACTGAACATGAGGCAAATTTAATTTGAAATTAGGGAAGATGTAGTCCCATTTCATAATCAACTAAACTGAGTAAATGTTTGAGCATGTGGTAAGATACACTTTGGCAGCTAAATTTGTGAGCTGTGTCACAACCAATACAATTACAGTTGCTTGTTTATTGTGATCACGTGGTTCAGGAGTTTGCAGATGCCTAATATCAGGCCATCATAGGCCATCACTGTGATCCTGGTGGTCTCCACTCCCCCAAAGAAATGCTCTGCAAAGAGCAGAGTCATGCAACCCCCCAAGAAAATAGTTTTGTTTTCAATGAGTGAAACAACTATTTTGGGAGTCACGGTGAAAGATTAGACTTGATTTAAAAAGTTTTGAAGCTTTTTAGGTAATTAAAAATATATACATACATATAAGAATCATAATTAAGTATCTCTGGAATACACACATACACATACACAATGATAGTTACAATTAAACATCTCTGGAAGAAGCATATCCCCAAAGCATGAACTAGGCTGTGTGAGGTCATACCACAATCCTTGAAGTTATTTGAAATGTTAAAACTCACTATTTGGAGAACTTCAGTTATGATTAGAAAGGTTATATTTAAACTAAAGAAATGACCATAATTGACTGGATAGTGTGTGTTTTCTGGGGTGAGGGGGAGAGAGAGAGAGAGAGAGAGAGAGAGAGAGAGAGAGAGAGAGAGAGAGAGAGAGAGAGAGAGAGAGAGAGAGAGTCTTCTGGTTATTAGCTATAAGATGTTGGGTACGAAGGAGGAGGCAACAATGCTTGGTAAGAAATGTACTCATTACCTTGCTCATGTAATTGTAACCCCTCTGTATGGTATTTTCTCAATAAAAATTTTTTAAAAGAAGATATTGGGTACTGAACTTGATCTTAGTGCTCTTAAGGCTTTACATACTAAAAGGGGGAAATAAATAATATTGAGGTATTCAAGAATATCATTATTATATCTGTCAAAATTTATGTTCTGAAGGTAAAACATATGGTTCTCCAGATTCTTGATGAAGAAACAAAAATTTTTCCTATCACCATTTTTATCTTTTAAATATTTACTTGCAATATTAACAGAGAAAACAAATGGCATAAGTTTTCAACTTAAGAAATAAAATCTGCTACGTATATTCAGAAGGGTGGTTGAATACAGAAATAAATATGTTAGGCAATAGGAATTTTTTTTTTGTCAGTGGTGGGGCTTGAACTCTGGGCCTGGGCACTGTTCCTCAGCTCTTCAGCTCAAGGCTAGCGCTCTACCACTTGAGCCACAGTGCCACTTCCAGCTTTTTCTGCTTATGTGGTGCTGAGGAATTGAACCCAGGTCCTCATGCATACAAGGCAAGTACTGTACCACTGGGCCACCTTCCCAGCCGGGCAATAGGAAATTTGACTTGACAGATAAATTTAGAAGCTGCTTCTTAGTATTTTAAAAATACAAGCAAAAACTAATGAATACAGACCAATACATTAAGTAGAGTGAGTCTTGCCAAATCACAGAAATATAATTGGTTTTAGAAATATTTAGAAGAATATTAAGCACATTTCATACAAGGTATTTAGTAACTGGATAGGATATTTTCTGAAGTTGTACCTTCTCTTAATACAATTAGCAAAAAGACAAAAGAGGGAAAATCAGCTATTTTAAGCACTATCAATGAAACATAGATCTTTTCAAAACTAGAAAAGCAGATGGGAATATAATCTCTAGATAGGAAAAATATTTTAAGCAAAAACCTACTAGTATATGACACAGGAAAAATGAATTCAACTATAGAGATATAGAAACATAGAAGTCTACAACAAATATGACTTATTTTGGAAATAGATTTTTAGAAATTAAAATGGTCTGGGAGAAAGCAAGGGAAGAGGTGACATTGTCCAAAAGAAAAGTATTCTTTACCTGACTTATGAAACTGTAACCCCTCTGAATATCACCTTTATGATAACAATAAAAACTTTAAAAATTAAAATGTTTCCCATATCTTTATAAAAATAATTCTCATAAACATTAGACATTTATGTTTTATATATTATACAGTCAAAGAAATGTAGTTTAAAAATAAAACAAAACCTTGAAAGCTGGTAATGATTTATTAGAATATAATACCCAGTCTTGGAGTATATGGATTGATATATTTTAAAGTTTAAATATCAAACAAGAACTTTATAACTAGATCTGCATACTTATTATTATATTTCTATTTAATCACTATATGGATGAAATGCATAAGGTTATATTTCACAATATCTTTTTATATAAGTGCAAAAGAACAAGTAATTTGAATTTTAATATGCATTAGAGTTTTGAAATGTCAAATGGACAAATGTCTGATGTCTAATAAATTAATGCTATGGAAGATTCTTCCAATATTTTATAGATGGAAAACAAAATATAAAATAGCTCATATATTATGGTTTAAAATGGTCTAAGATACCATAAAATTGTAGGATATGCATAGAAAAATATTTCCCAAAGAGTATGCTAAAGATTAATAATGCTTGTTTGAATTAAGGAATTAAGGAGAATTTAGGTGTGTTTTCATTTTTATGAACTGGTCTTTTTTTTTTTTTTACAATGTACCATTCATTACTTTTACAGTCAGTAAAATTTTTATCAAAAACTTTTCTTATCAATCCTGAGTTACTTTTTCTTACTTGATTAAGTATGCTGCCATAAGGCAAAAAAAAATCAGTGGCAGGTATGGAGGGGAGGGATAGTAGGGGAAAAACAAAGGAGGGGGGAACAATGCTCTATAGGAAATGTACTTATTACCTTACTCATGTAACTCCTCTGTACAGTATCTTTACAATAAAAAAATAAAAAAAAATTCATGGCAGTAGAAACAGATGCCTAAATCTAAGTTTCCTGTAGTTTTGAGACTAAACTTGTTGAGGACACATATCAATAAGGAAGTCACAGAATGTACCCACCTGTTTGAATGTGTTTTGGAGTAGCAGGCCATTCCATAACAAGTCACCTGGTTCTCAGGGAACAGTTTGTATAGTAGCTGCTGCTCTGCACTGCATGTGTATCCATTTTTACCTTCAGTAGAATATTCAGTTTCTTCAAGTAGTGACTTGAAAAGATGGGTAACAGAGGCCTTCTAAATGAAGCTGAGTTCATGGGCTGGCTTTATTTTGTTTTTTAGAGTCATAGGATCTGCAAATGTGAGACATGGCCATAGCAGCTCGGAAAAAACTTTTTTAAAGGTCAGGTTTCAAGCATCATTAGGCTTCAGAAAGTTGATGTGAAAATAACCCTGAAAATCCTAACTTGTGGAGGACATCTCTCTACAGACCATCTCTCTACTCATTTCTAGTTGAAGTGACCAGTTAAGTGTGATTTTTTTTAAAAAAAGAAGCAACACCCCAATGAACCTGAGATTTTATTTCACTAAAAAAAAACTCAAAATAGTAAACTACATTGAAGCACGCAGAATCAAGGATGTTAAGCTTCATGAAAAACGTAATATATCAAAGTTATTAGGGCAGTAGAATTCTGAAGGCAGATCTGTTAAGGATTTTTCTAAGTAAGTCCAGCCTGAAGATTGCTTCTTGGCTACTTAAATCTCTGGATCAAACATAACTGAAAAGTAAGAACCAAGCAGCATCAGTAGTCTGTGGCTAGTTACTCTTATGTGATCTTCTTGGGTCATGAAACCACAGAATCCATCCTTATCAACATTTTCACATCTGGATTTATGAAGTATTTAATGGATATTATGTAATTAAAAAGGAATTAATTATGTTCTAACCTCTCAGAGGATTAGACTTAGTAGCTTCAGCCAAGATGGCAGTCAAATCAACTTGTCCTGTTCTTTCTCTTGTGACCATGACATCTACCACCAAAGTGTGCGTGTGTGTGTGTGTGTGTGTGTGTGTGTGTGTGTGTGTGTGTGTGTTTGTGTGTAAGGAAAATCAAGTAGGCTAGACTAGGCTGGTTTAGAAGCCTCCCTGTGGCTATGACTAGAGAGTAATTTTAGAGCTCAGACCTGAGGTACAAAACGTTTTAGTCAAGGGAATGTGAGTGCTTGACCCAGTCAGACTCTATAAAACAACTCTAATAACACGTGTCGCACAGAGTTATAGAAAACATTGAGCCAGATAACAGGTGAAATAATAAAACTACTGTTTACCAATGCACTTATAACTGAAATCCATGGGCTAAACAAACTACTCTTAGTGTTAATAATATGAATCATGCTTTTTATGTTTAGAATATGAACTATTTCTTATAAACTTATGTTTGAACACTTTATCACTAGATGGTGGTGCT